AAATTCTCATTGACAATATTGACTGTGGTCGCTTGGCAATGGATAAATATGGATTTCTTTATGTTTCTGATTATAAGAAGAATGAAGTGAGACGATGGAAAATTGAAGAGTACAGTGAAGGAACTGTGGTTGCAGGTGGAAATGGAAAAGGCGATCAACTTAATCAACTTAATTTTCCTGCCTATATCTTTGTTGATGAAGATCAATCTGTTTATATATCTGATCAAAACAATAATCGTGTGGTAAAATGGAGAAAAGATGCAAAAAAAGGAACAATTGTAGCTGGAGGAAATGGTAAAGGAGAAAGGTTGAACCAACTGTCTTCACCTCAAGGAGTCATTGTTGATCATTTTGGTCAAATCTATGTAGCAGATTTTTGTAATCATCGAATAGTGCGTTGGCGTGAAGGAAAAAAAGAAGGTGAAATTGTTGTTGGTGGAAATGGTAAAGGAAATCAATCAAATCAATTGAATGTTCCCATGGGTTTATCTTTTGATAATGAAGGAAATCTTTATGCTGCCGATCGTGACAATCATCGAATTGAAAAATTTCAAATAATTATGTAAATAAAATTTTGATTTTGTAAAAAGAAAAATAACTTTTTTGTCAAATAAAAAAATCGAGAAATAAAACTAAAAGAAAAGGCTTTTTTGTCATTATTTTTCTTCACTTGAAATGTTTTTAAGATTTCTTTTTCAAATTAAATGTATTGTTGGAGAAAAAACACACAAAAACATCAAATGTTATTCTTTTACAAAACAGTCACAAGAATTTATTCGTCCAAAAAGAAATTCAGTTGTTTGAATTAGTTTCATTTTGGTAAGTTGGTTTTTTGAAACGATATCAAAAATAGAATGAAAAAATGAGAATAGAGAATACCGCAGGACAACAATCTTGAGAATGGCAGTAAAATTGGATAAAAATGAATAAGATGATATAGCTAGAGAACAGATAAACACAATCACAGTCACTTTGAGGGTATGGGTGTTAGTTTTTTCTTGTTATCTACAACCTCAGGCTGAATGATGTTGATATTATCTATTTGTTCGAAAGACTGTTTAAAAGAATATATTAATGGACATTTGGCATTTTCTATTCTGTTTATTTCAATACTTTTTTAGTTCGACAAAATGGCAGCAAATCATGCAACATCATCGTACTTTCTGGCTTTAAGAAATGAACCAAGATTAACTATGCAAATTAACACAAGTATAGCTGCGATGGCTGTTGATAATAACAACAGTACCCTGCTTTATTGTTCTGAAGATTGTTTGTTGTTAATTAATGAGCAAGGCAACGAGATACTAAATATGAAACGGAACTTTAAAGTCTCCGATATGTGTTTCTCATCCTTTTTAAATCAATTTTTAATTCTCTCCTATAAACCTGATTGTGCACTTTATTCGCTCGATCCCTCGACACACGAACTGAAACAAATAAAAAAATTCACTCGAATAATATGGAGTTGTACATGTTATGATAAAACACTTATTGTTTCGGAAGCTGATCAAGGTTCAAAAATTGAAGTTTACGATTTGAGCGCAGATCATTGGAATGCAGTTCAAATATTTACAGCACCATTATCTTGTGAAGTAGATGAACAGATTGAAAAGATTCGATTCAATAGTGATGGTAGTCGTCTTGGAATTATTCTACGCAAAGGAAGTCAATCTAATTATTATCATTGGTTTGAATTACGTAATCCAAATGATATGACTGTAGTTTCGACGACTACGGCTGACCTCGGTGAAGATCAATGGTGCTGGCTTCTCCCGCTACCCAACCAACAGTTTTTGGCAACTCTATGGAGAAAGAAAAAACTCTTTTTGTTCGATTCACACGGGGTACTTCAAGAAACAACAGAATACGATACGAATGTGAAGTTTTTAAATTCAACAGCATTAATCAATAGCAGTTGTCTGGCAGTACAAACATGGAAACCTGACGAACTACGTTTTTATGATTTATAACTTAAATTCTGTTTGTAATTTGAGTGTCCGTATCCTCTATAATAAATTAGGAGAGTCTATGCTCTGAGGGTGTGGGTATACATATAATTAACAAAACACCCGTAGCCACACCCACACCCTCTTTTATTTAAGAACTGTTAGGAATTATCTTTTCAAAAAATAAACGAAAATATTTATTTGAATTATGAATTTAAAGTATTTTTTATATTTTAATATAGACACAAAATACTGATTATTATACTCGATTATTCAATAAAATTTGTTACTCCGTTTGACAACACGGAGTAGAAAATGAATGATCATGAGATGAAGTGTTGATCAATGGTGTTGTTTCCGTTGTTAAAGAATGAGTTTGAGTTCGTGTTCGAATTCTAATAATACCAAAAATAAAATGTCCCAAAATTAAACCAAATATAAGAGCAATAAAAATACCAATATCATATGTCATAACTAATAACATTAAACAATAAGCAAATAACATATGAATTCCATATGATAACGATATACACAATTGTTGAATAAATACAGATGACCATACATTTGTTCTTTGTACTAATAGATGTCGACTATATATTATGATTTCATTGAATATTCCCATACAAAATACAATAATAATAAATAATGCATATTTCATTCGAGTATCAATATTCAATCCTGGAAAAAGAAATAAAATACATTGTTGACTTTCTCCCATTGCAAATTGAAAACCATTTTGCATAGCCATACATTTGTCCATCATCATCATCATGAATCTTAAATAGAATTATACATAATACAATATTTATGATCACATGTTACTTTAGAAGAAATCCTAGTATGATGAAAAGATACTCATAATATTAATATATTAGAATACTTTCGATATGTCAAATAAATCGATATTTATATATACAAATTGTGTTCTATTTTGTTCTCGAGCACGTGCTTCAATGATTATAATAATATGTTCGTCTCGGATGAGTGCACTATCATTCTTTTTCTTTTCTTATATGTCAAGAAAAGAACAGAATAAAATCGACATAAAGAGAGAGAGATATTCTCGTGCAGATTACTCATACAAAATCGATAGACATATTGTTGTTCTTTTGAAAGTATATCATTTTGAATATGATAATATCCATGCTCAATTCTCATTTTTAAACTCTCTTCACTATCGAATAAACATCATTCTATTTTGTTTTTTAATTCAGATGCAAATAACAGTATATAATCATTAATATAGTTCACTGTAGATAGGTCGGATGCTCTTGAAGATAGGTGTGGGTATGATTAATAGACACAATATTCTCAGTCACACTTATACCCACACCCTCGAGATGGATTAAAATGAACACGACGATACAGTTGAGTGGGTAAGAGATTAATATATGATCCATTTCGAAGATAACGATCTATATGTTTAATCTTTACCCACATCTAAATTTACATTAAAACATTCTTTCATCAAAAAAAATATCACTAGAGCTGTTTGAATTTTTATTTAAAATTAAAGGCACATCAGTTTTATCAGTAACATTTTGTTGTACGACAAAGTTCTTTTTAGATTTCTTTTAGGAAATAACTATGTACACTCGAGTGCACATAGCCACTTTCTTTTTTTTATCATTCAGTTGTTAAATTTATATCTCAAAAAAATAAATAAGAAAATATTCATTTCTTCTAGAAATTTATATTCAAAGACTTGGCAATGACAAACAATAAAACACAATGTTCTATATGTAATAAAGATAAAATAACATATCCTTGTGAAGGATGTTCGAAAAACTTTTGTTTAATGGATTTAACAAAACATCGTCAAATATTAAATAATGAATTACATCATATTATTAATGATTATGATCAATTTAAACAAAGATTTAGTGAACAAAAACCAAGCTCACATGATCTTTCTCTAATAAATCAAATTAATCAATGGGAAATAGAGTCAATTATAAAAATTCAACAAAAAGCAAGAGACTGTAGAGAAATTGTCATTAAATCATCACAAACATGTATTAATGATACTGAAAAGAAATTTAATGATCTAAATGAACAACTAAAACAAATTCACAGTGACAATGAATTTAATGAGATTAATTTGAATTATTTAAGAAATCAATTAAGAAAAATTACAGAGGAATTAAATAATCCACCAAAGACTTCCATTCAACAAGATTGTCAACTATTTATTAATGAAATTTCAATTATTTCCGTAGAAAAAAGTAAGTTTTTAATAAATAATTTCTAAAAGAAAACGGATGATAAAGAAAAGAATAATAAGATATGAAATGAAAGTTAAATAAAAAAACTTTTTCTTCGAAGTTTGAAAAGATGTTTGATTGATAACAACAATACTGGATTATTTTCAAATTTTATTAATTATTCTAACAAAAATCTAGTTTTATAATGATCACAATAAATTATCATTTGATTTCTTAGTTATTTTTATTGAATAGATTATTAGAAAATGAAGTTATGTTATAGTATCTGCATGATACTCACACAGTAGAGAAGAGATGAATGGTATACTATATAACAGATTTTGTGATTATTCGTAAATGTGATGTTTCATTTTTCTGTTTATTTTGAAAATGAAATATATTGGAAGATAAATATTGTATTTTATCATTCAATTTTTAATATCACATTAACATATATATTGAAATATATAAAGAATAAAAAAAAACAAATCAAAATAAAATCAGTTTTGTATTTAGAATCATAATCTACTTTTCGAGTCTTCGAACTTTATCAATAAAAGTTTCATGAGTTTGACAGTGACTGTTAGGAGAACTCTGAATATATTTTATTTTCACTAGTTCATTACGATTTCAGGTAAAATTCTTTCATTAATCGACTTTTACTATAGTTTTTCTTTATTCTTTGATATTTTCAACCTATTGATCACTATAGTCAAATAAATAGATGTTCTATACTTATAACTTTCATTGACTGAAACAAAAATATCTAAATGTTGATTTTCAAGAAGTTCTTGATTGTTACTTAAGAATTATTTTATTTTCTCAAAGTTCTATTTAACAAAAATAAATCATCAGAATCTTTTTCTCCTTTTCAATTTAAATTCTTCTCTCAACTTTCACAAAACCAAAATCGAAGTTTCATTCAAAATTAATCTTATCCTTCTGCTTCAATAAAAAACAAATTTTCTCCTTCTTGTTCATCTTTCCAGTAAAATCTTTTGTGTTCATTCTATTTTAGAACCAAAATTCAATATTTGGAATCAAAATGCCATCACTGTAGCTGGTGGAAATGGATATGGAGAGAACTTAAATCAACTCTATCTCCCTGCAGGAATCTTTATTGATGAAAAGAAAAACATATTCATTGCTGATAGTCATAATCATCGTATTGTTGAATGGAAACATCATGCAAATGAAGGACAAATCATTGCAGGTGGAAATGGTAAAGGAAATCGAATGAATCAATTGAATTATCCAACAGATGTGATTGTTGATCGACAAAGTCATTCGATCATCGTTGCCGATTGGCAAAACAGACGAGTAGTTCAATGGGTGAATCAAAAGCAACAAATTCTCATTGATAATATTGACTGTGGTCGCTTGGCAATGGATAAACATGGACTTCTGTATGTTTCT